ATGACAGCCTATGACAAGGGATTTTCAGAGCAAATAAAATAGGAGAGAATATAAATTTATTGACCTCTGGATCTCTTATGGTTTACAAAAATGGCCCTGGGAACTGTATGCAGCTTGCCAGCCCCACTTTACCCCCATCAGCTGTAATGGCTTGTGTCTCTTCGGTGCAAATAATAGCAACCAAGGTAATAGATTAAGCTTGTTCCCCTCGTAGACATATGGCCAGGAGCCGTCTGAGTATTCAGACACCTTAAACAGCCATTCTTCACCTGTAGATGAGGTATGGGCAAATTTGGACCCTCCAGGTGTTTTGGACTCCAACTCCCACAATTCCTAACAGCCTCAGGCCTCTTTTTCTGGAAAACTACAAGAAGGAGGTGAGGAATTCATGGACTGTAATTAAAAGTTGCCAATGACCTGTGAAAATGTTAACTTTTGGGGGGAAAACATGTTTACATTATCAGAGACAATGGCTCTTTAAGTTAAGGAAATGTTTACAAGGTTCCTTATGTTAAGAAGGAAGCCAACACAAGGCTCCTTATGTTTACCAACACCAATTAAGCAAAGTCAACATCTGCCAGGAACTGAGAGGAAGCCAGGATGTTTCAGGCTGGAAAAACATCTACCATTCATTTACAGCTTTGGAACAACATCAGCATCACCATTGCTGTAGTCCAGGCATGGGCAAATTTGGGTCCTCCAAGTGTTTTGGACTCCAACTCCCACAATTCCTAACAGCCGGTAGGCTGTTAGGAATTGTGGGAGTTGGAGTCCAAAACACCTGGAGGGCCCAATTTTGCCCATGCCTGCTGTAGACCATTAGTTCACCATAGTCATAATCAACAGGAAAAGATGCTGAATCTTCGCAACCCGTTTGTTTACTTCTTATGGAGTTCAGCTATATGACTGGAGAGAACAAACCATTGGTGAACATGGCTGGCCTTTAACACTTGTTATTGTTACTTGGAAGGAGGTTTGTGGTCATTTGAAGCCTCAAGCTGACAGAGTTCATCTTCAGAAAGGCATCTTCCTTCTTTAATGCCTCTATTGTCCAAATTCCACATGCTTTAAAATGCCAAGGCGATGCCCTCTGTCCTGAGAAGTTCTCTAGATGTGTCTTGTAGGAACAGAATTTGGTTTCTCCCATTCAGAATCCCATCTCAGCCCTTGATGCCCACTTCAGAGATTATTATGGCTGAGAAGAAGAGTAAACCCCAACAGATAGCCAATTGACCTCCTTGCATATGGACTTCCCAATAAGTTAACCAACCTAGGACCAGAGGTGGCCCTAGGTAATTTTCAACGGTAAGCAAACAGTATTTTGGCACCCCACCCCCCCAACCAATCACTGATATATATTTTCTGTTCGTCATGGGAGTTCTGTGTGCCATATTTGATTCAATTCCATCATTGGTGGAGTTCAGAATGCTCTTTGATACATCCCAGTAACTACAACTCGCATATGTCAAGGTCTATTTTTCCCCCAAGAGTGCCTCAAGAGCGCCCCTTGGCAAAATCAACTATACTGCAAATGTTTACTTTGCGTAATGGATTGAGCCGCCCCTGCCTAGGACATTATCATGATTGCAATTTAAGATCATCTGGGGAGGCCCTGCTCTTGCTCCCATCAACGGCACAAATGCGGCTGGTGGGGACGAGGAGCAGGGCCTTCTCAGCTGTGGCCCCCTGCCTATGGAACACACTCCCAAAGGAGGTAAGATCTGCTCCCTCTCTCCTGACCTTTAGAAAAAAAATTAAAATCAAATATTGCCTTCGGACAATAGATGTATGCAGCTTTTTAGAGTGACAAGGACTCGAACGGCGACTCAACTGATGAGATTGTTTTATGGTTTTAATAACTGTGTTGATGTTTTAATATGATTTATGTCTAATGTGTGGTTTTACTACTGTAGTTGTAAGGCATTGAATTTTGCCATTATCTATGTGTAAACCGCTTTGAGTCCTCCTAAATGTAAAGTTTGTCCCCTGACATTAAGTCCTGTCATGTCTGACTCTGGGGTGTGGTCAGAGGCGGCCCTAGGTAATTTTCAACGGTAAGCAAACAGTATCCCCGCCCTGCCCTCACCCTCAACCAATCACTGATATATATTTTCTGCTCATCATGGGAGTTCTGTGTGCCATATTTGGTTCAATTCCATCATTGGTGGAGTTCAGAATGCTCTTTGATTGTAGGTGAACTATACATCCCAGTAACTACAACTCGCATATGTCAAGGTTTATTTTCCCCCAAGAGCACCTCAAGGGCAAAATCAACTATACTGCCAATGCTTACTTTGCGTAATGGGTTGAGCCGCCCCTGGGTGTGGTGCTCATCTCCATTTCTCCATCTCTGTTGTCTGTAGACACCTCCAAGGTCATGTGGCCAGCATGATTGCATGGAGCGCCGTTACCTTCCCGCAGGAGCGGTACCTATTGATCTACTCACATTTGCATGTTTTTGAACTGCTAGGTTGGCAGAAGCTAGGGCTGACAACGGAAGCTCACGCCACTCCCCGGAATCAAACCTGTGACCTTTCGGGTAACAAGCTCAGCAGCTCAGCGCTTTAACCCACTGCGCCACCAGGGGCTCCCCCTAGGAGTGTGAAAAGCAGTATATAAATACTGTAAATAAAATAATAAATAATAAACATTCCATTCGGGGCTGTAGAAAACACATCTCCAAACACCTCAAGGTTTGAATTGAAACCAGATGGAGAAATGGCATACTGTGTTGCTATGGGGGACTTGTGCAGGTATTTGTGCAAAAAACCTGGTCTTCCATTGCTTTTTCCCACATCAGGTGGGACTTTGAAAAAATGTAGTTCTGTCATGGTACTACCACTGACGCAGAGTTATGCCATAGTTCTCAATTGTGGTAAATGCTTTCATCAAAAGGGGCTTCTTGGTGCAAATAATAGCAACCAAGGTAATGGGTTAAGCTTGGTTCTCCTTTAAGACATATGGCCAGGAGCCTTCTGAGTATTCGGACACCTTAAACAGACATTCTCCACCATCGCTGTAGACCAGGCATGGGCAAACTTGTGTCCTCCAGGTGCTTTGGACTCCAACTCCCACAATTCCTATTGGTCGGTTAGGAATTGTGGGATTTGAAATGCAAAACACCTGGAGGGCCCAAGTTTGTCCATGCCTGCTGTTAACCATTCTTCACCATACTCAATCAACGGGGAAAGATGCTGAATCTTCACAACACGTTTGCTTACTTCTTATGGAATTCAGTTGTATGACTGGGAAGAACAAACCATTGGTGACCATAGCTGGCCTTTAACACTTGGTGTTGTTTCTTGGAAGGAGGATTGTGGTAATTTGAAGCGTAGATCAAAAATAATGCCTCCTTTGCTCTATTTCTTTCACAGCTACTAGACTATTTATATATGATGTGATAGAGGTAACCTTACTCTACTGATATAGTCTTTTCTTTTTCCAATTGACTGATTAGAACCATGAATCTGAGGCTAAAAGAGAGTCCTCATTGAATTTTTGGCAAAAGAAGGCTGTGTGTACCTAAGGAAATCCATTGTTTGCTTTGAAGAATGTTTATGATTTGGCCCTTCTGACTTTTACCTTTTGACCTCTGAAAGACAACCTACATGGTTTCAGATTCAATGACTTGAATGAATTAAAACATCTTTAAAATCATGGGTCACGAAGCCAAACCCTGAATATTTCCAAAATGGTTTTGATGCCTGGATTAAACGATGGCGCAAAGGTGTACAAGTTGATGGTGAATTTGTTGAATGGTAGTTTTGTGTAGAGAACAGTTCGGGCTATGATCTGTAGCAACTTCCGCTGTTATATATTCATTTGTTATGTTTTTATGACATAGGAGGCAAAACTTTTTGATCCACCTGTGTGTGGATATATATATTCCTGATATATGTATGTATTGTGTGTGTATGCATATAGATAGATAGATAGATAGATAGATAGATAGATAGATAGATAGATAGACAGATAGATAGATAGATAGATATAGATAGGTAAAGGTAAAGGTAGTCCCCTGACATTAAGTCCAGTCATGTCTGACTCTGGGGTGTGGTGCTCATCTCCATTTCTAAGCCGTAGAGCCAGTGTTGTCCGTAGACACCTCCAAGGTCATGTGGCCGGCATGACTGCATGGAGCGCCGTTACCTATATATATATAGATATATATAGATATAGATACACACACACATACACAAATATATTCATATATACATACAAACACACATGCATGCGTGCACACACACACACACACACACATAAATATCAGGGTTTTTTTTCATGTCAGGAATGACTTGAGAAACTGCAAGTCACTTCTGGTGTGAGAGAATTGGCTGTGTGCAAGGACATTGCCCAGGGGACACCTGGATGTTTTGATGTTTTACCATCCTTGTGGGAGGCTTCTCTCATGTCCCTGCATGGGTAACCGGAGCTGACAGAGGGAGCTCATCCACGCTCTCCCTGGACTTGAACTTGCGAGATATCAGTCTTTGGTCCTGCCAGCACAAGGGTTTAATCTATTGCACCACCGGGCCATACATACACACATATCAGGTATGTATGTATGTATATCAGGAATGTGTATATACAAGATATATATACAGAGGCGGCCCTAGATAATTTTCAACGGTAAGCAAACAGTATTTTGGCGCCCCCCCCCCCACCAATCACTGATATATATTTTCTCTTCATCGTGGGAGTTCTGTGTGCCATATTTGGTTCAATTCCATCATTGGTGGAGTTCAGAATGCTCTTTGATTGTAGGTGAACTATACATCCCAGTAACTACAACTCGCATATGTCAAGGTCTATTTTCCCCCAAGAGCGCCTCAAGAGCGCCCCTGGGCAAAATCAACTATATTGCAAATGCTTACTTTGCATAATGGGTTGAGCCGCCTCTGTATATACATATACAATGTCTCTGTATCCATAATATCTTTTGAAAGCATGGTGTCCCTAACAGAATATTGTCTGATCAGGGACCTCAATTTGTGGCATAATTCTGAAAAGTGCTGTTCTGTTTATTAAATACATGAGCATACTCTCCTTTTGTTCACCATCCACAGAAAGACAACAACTTGGACTGCTGAAATCATGTATAAAGAAGGGCCTTGCATATTAGACAACCTTCGAGCAGCAGCACAACTCCTGCAGGCTACAATCTTTGTCTGAATATGCCCACAATTTCAAATAAAAAAGGTACCCTTCGTCTACAAATGATGGCTTCCATTGTTGCTCCATCACCAAACACTGAAGTCACTTGGTCTGAGTGCTTTGCCTTCTCCTGACCCTTCATGATATATAGTTGCTTCACTTCTTATATCTCCTGACTGCTGTTGGCTGTACTTCCTTTAACTGTATCTACAAGTGATTCGGGGTGAAGGCTGATGTCCAATCTTTTCGTTCTCACAAGCAAGCAGAGAAGCTTGTTTACTTGTAGAAAAAGGGTCTGACAGAACAGGGAATCAAAACACCCAGTAGCTGACTTTAACACAAGTCTAGACAAAACGTTGGCTCCAGAGAGAAAAAAATTCAGCTGCCTGGGGAGAGAAAATGAGGGAGAAAAATCAGATAAACCATGTGGTCTTGAGTCAATATCCTCGACTATTGTCCAAGTCTCATGTTATGTCATTATAAGCGGACATCCACCACATTTTAACACTTGCAGCAAATTAGCAGGCTTGGTTCCTACATTTGGCTTCAGGGTCTTTTCTCCTTTCTGAGCACATCAAGGAAAAAAAAACCCAGATTGGATTGGATGGATTATATGGAACTTCCCGTACTGATGTCACCAATCCCATGAAATAGGAGTTTCCCAAATCCTTATTCATTCCATGTGTGATACTCATACAACAGAGCAGAGAAAAAACATTACATTTTTGGACTCTAAACCTCAAATTCTCCCAACGAGGACGACCAGTGTTAGTCCAAAAACACCCACTTTTCCAAGAGTAACCAACTTACAGGTAAAATACCTCCAAGTTTTCTTCCTAAAGAGGATATAGTTCTTACAAGGGGTAGGAAGGGAGAGACAAAGACATCCTATGGAAGGAGCAGAAAGGCCACCACACGAAATGCTGGGGGAAATTAAAAAAGGGAGGGTGTTTTCCTCCATTAATAAAGGGTACAGACAATTAATTGAACACCTTTCTTGTCACAGAGAGCAAAGCAAGAGTTAAAAGCGTTAAAACGGTTGTTCCAACCAAAGTCACTGCTCATGTGCACAACCTCACCAAAACAAACAAAACAAAACCCAGGAAACATTTTGCCTTGTCCATCCATCTGTCCATCCACCCACCTTCAGAAATGCCAGAATTGGGGCTGGGTTGAGTTCAAAGTCTTTTCCTTTTTGTTGTATCGACCTTGAGCAAGATGGAGCCGGTCGCTGGTCCCTTCAACTTGAATGTAACCCCAACTCAGTTTTTTTTAATCACAAGAAGACAATTGAAAATGTCAAATATTAAAAGAGAGAGAGATAGAGAAAGAGAAGAGAAGAAAATGGCAAAACTCCATCACGTCACTGCTATGGGAAGTCCACCTCCCACCCGGCATATGCCTCTCCGAGCTCAATAAGAGAAGGACGAGGCTGATCATAAGTAAACATTTGAAGGAGAGAACCTCAGTGTCCCTCTGCTTTCGTGGTTCTAGGTGTTGTCAAAAGGTAGAACCATTGAAGATGACTTAGCAGACATATTAGAGGGTCCTTTGGTCAGGATGGGCAACAACCAGGGGTTAAAACATCACCCCGGCCCATCCTTCTTGGCTTGCACATTTGGTCCGGTGTGCTAGAGAGAGGTCCCGGGAAGGAGCAGGCCCTCACGACAGTCAGATCAGAAGGGAGAACATTGGAACAATGGAGGAAATGCCAATAACAATGTGGTGCAGAAGGGCTGTTGTTAGATGCATCAAATCAGATGTCATTTTGGGCGACATGATGAATGAGAGACCGCTGAGACTCCCCCGTCACGGTCTTGCGAGGCAAATTCAGGGCCATGGCTTTCTGAATGGAGTCTTTCTGCCCATTGTGCAGTCTTCCTCTTTACCTGGAGAGCAAGAGGAAGCTTATAGGTACAGAGAGAAGGCAATTTTTGTCTCACAGGTATGGAAGTTTCAAATGGAAAGAAAGGATGCTCGGGAAGCTGGGGTGGGAAGGAGCGATCCTTTGGCAAAGAGGCCTTCCCGTATCCAGAGTTTTTTTTTCTCTTGTGTCCTGGTCCACACCATGGATGGGTGGTTCCCTCAGAAGCCCTTGATGTGGCAGTACGCTTCAAGGCTGGCAAAGAGGATGTAGAGGAACCAAAGGCCCAGGAAGAGGCAGACGGTGAGGATTTTGGCGGTTCGGGGTCCCCCCAGCTCCCCTCCTATGTGCGGCCGGCGGCGGTACATGAGGACGCTGATGCAAACAAAGGCGAAGATGGTGAAGAGGGTGACGGAGAAGGCCAAAGTGCCCGTCTGCACCTCAAAGTTTTTGCCTTTGAAGGCCCAGTAAATGGCGGCCACGGACCAGGCCACGCCGATGCCGAGGAAGACGTTGACCGCATTGCTGCCCGTCACGTTGCCGATGGATGCGTCGGCGCACTGGTCCTGGAGGGCAGCCACTTTGCTGGCAAAGGTGTCTGTGGAGAGAGGAGAGACACAAGGAGGAGATGTGAGAAGAGGCAGGAAACCCTGAGGGGGGAGGAGGACTTCCAGGGGAACAATTAGATGCCCTTTCCAACCTCAAATGTGGGGGACTGTCAGTACAGTGGTCCCCTGCTTTTGATCCTCTAATGTTGATGTCTGCGACTCCCACCATTCCTATCTGGCAGTCATTCAGGATGATGGAACTTGTACGCCAATCAGGGGAAGATGCCCATTTTCTCATCTAGCATAATTTCACACTTGCTGTTGTTCCAGGCCTTCGAGTCAACTTTGACTTATAGAAAGCCCTATCCTACAATTTTGAGGAGCCTCAGCACCTGGTATAACCTGATGGTCTTCTTATCATCCTTACCAGGTCTGATCATGCTTAAATTCTGAGATCAGGCATCATCAAGGAGTTAGGGTATCCCAAGTAGAGAGGAGTAAAAAGTAAAGGTAAAGGTATCTCCTGACATTAAGTCTAGCCATGTCCGATCCTGGGTGTCCAAAATGGTGCTCATCTCCATTTCTAAGCCAAAGAGCCATCATTGTCCATAGACACCTCCAAGATCATGTGGCCAGCATGACTGCATGCAGCGTCGTTACCTTCCTGCCAAAGCGGTACCTATTGATCTACTCACATTTGCATGTTTTCGAACTGCTAGGTTGGCAGAAGCTGGGGCTAACAGCGGGAGCTCACCCCACTCCCCGGATTTGAACTGCCAACCTTTCGGTCAGCAAGTTCAGCAGCTCATCAGTTTAACCCACTGTGCTACCAGGGGACAGAGGGGAGTAGTGGTGGTTAAATGAATTGTCAATTCATCCCTCTTCCTACATCCCCAATCTGCCCTGAGGGGTGGGGGGAGGAAAAAGTTACTTTTTACAAACCACAATGATAGTCAGCATTCCACATTTTCAAGGTTAACTTTTGTAAACAGAGCTTTACAACCTTTAAGCTGTCCCATTATGTATGGTTTGTCATACCTGGAATGGATGTGCCCAGGGCCACAAAGACAACAGCGTTGACAGTGTCCTTGAGGCCGACGGTGCAGCCAAAGTGGGAGGCCAGGTCTCCAATGAGGGCGGTCAGAAGCCCAATGACCAGGATGCTGACACTGAAGCAGGCCCAGCCATTCCAGTATTCGGTGGGTGGCACACAGGCAAACAGGACCTTCCAGAAGACGGTCAGGAAGTGCATGACGTAGTCAAAGCAGGAGGGCAGCCGTTCCTCGCGTCCATCTTCCTCATCCTCCTCATCGCCTAGGAAAGGGACAAGCCTGGATCAGAGACTGGTAACAATGTCAATAGATGCAGTGCTTTCATAGAAATAGCCCAATAAGACTGCCAACTGACATATACAGGCAGTCCCAAGTTACAAACATCCGGCTTACAAATGACTCATAGTTAAGAAAATGTACCTGTTCTGACTTCTGTAACAAACCTACAGAACCTATCTTGTTCATAACTTGAGGACTGCCTACAGGTATAATTTAACTTTACTGTCTTCCACATTGTCAGAGGCTTCCTTAACTAGCTTTCTTTGTCACAGATTTATTTTAGCATGTGCTTTCATGGAAATCAACTCAGCTCTTCAGACCTACATGAATGTTCCCATCAACCTAAAATAAACCAATTAATGAGAAATATGTTGATTGATTCCTTCACACTTTTCTATTTTTTCAGATGATTCTATATTGAAGGAATCATACTAAATAAAATAAAATAAATAATGAAAAGAGGCAAATGTACCCCTCTCAAAGTATTAACAATGGAGCCACAAATGGAAATACTCGAAGGATGTCTGCCAAATGCATCAATAATGAGAAGCTATTCTAGAAGGAAACTGTAAAGGAATGGATGAATGAAGCAACCTGGAACCCCCTCTTCTGGTATGTTGCATATGTGGGTCACAACAACAACAACAACAGTAATCCTACAACAGCCAGCAGAGTGTCTGCTGTTGACTCATCTCACTGTGTTTCTAATAATAATAGTAATAGTAATAGTAATAATAATAATAATAATAATAATAATAATAATAATCAACTTTATTTTTATACCCTGCCTCCAACTCTTTGAAGGGACTTGGGGTGGGTTGTTGTAGTTTTTCAGGTTGCATGGCCATATTCTAGAAGCATTCTCTCCTGATGTTTTGCCCACATCTATGGCAGGTTGTGAGGTCTGTTGGAAATTAGGAAAATGGGATAATATATCTGTGGAAAGTCCAGGGTGAGAGAAAGAACTCTTGTCTGTTGGAGCTAGGTTTGAATGTTTCAATTGGCCACCATGATTAGCATTTGATGGCCTGAATGTTTTTAGGTGTGGCTTGTTACTCCCTAAAGGAATTCCTTGTTGAGAGGTGATTAGTTGTTCCTGGTTGTTTCTTCTGTGGAGTTCTCCTGTTTTTGTGTATTGTTCTTTATTTACTGTTATAATTTTAGAGTTTTTTTAATATTGGTGGCCAGATTTTGTTCATTTTCATGGTTTCTTCCTTTCTGTTGAAGTTGTCCACATGCTTGTGGATTTCAATGGCTTCTCTGTGTAACCTGACATGGTGGTTGTTAGAGTGGTCCAGCATTTCTGAGTTCTCAAATAATCTGCTGTGTCCAGGTTGGTTCATCGGGTGCTCTGCTATGGCTGACTTCTCTGGTTGAAGTAGTCTGTAGTACCTTTCATGTTCCTTGATGCGTGTCTGGGCAATACTGCGTTTGGTGGTCCCTATGTAGACTTGTCCACAGCTGCATGGTATACGGTAGACTCCTGCAGAGGTGAGAGGATCCCTCTTGTCCTTTGCTGAAGAAAGCATTTGTTGGATTTTCTTAGTAGGTCTGTAGATTGTTTGTATGTTGTGTTTCTTCATCAGCTTCATTTTGTGCTCTGTGGTTCCCTTGATGTATGGCAAGAACACTCTTCCTTTGGGTGGATCTTTGTCTTTACTCTCGTGGCTTGTTCTTGGCCTTGCAGCTCTGAGGTGGATTATCCATTGGCGTGTAAAGCCCAGTTGAGGTGGTTCAGTTCATCTTGAAGGAGGTGGGGTTCGCAGATTCTTTTTGCACAATCTGCCAGGGCTTTAATGGTGCTTCTTTTTTGACTTGGGTGATGGTTGGAGTTTTCTGTAAACCGCGTGACCCAATTGTTCACCTGGTCTGCGGATGACTAAGACAAGAGTTCTTTCTCCCACCCTGGACTTTCCACAGATATATAAACCCAATTTTCCTAGTTTCCATCAGAACTCACAACCTCTGAGGATGCCTGCCATAGATGCAGGCTAAACGTCAGGAGAGAATACTTCTAGAGTATGGCCATGATGTGGAGATATAGATATTTATACATATATTGTATATACATTACAAGCACTGAAATGTAGAAAAAATCAAGTTCTCTCTGTATTAGGAAGCCAAGGTGACAGGACTAAAGGGACGCGGAAGGATCTGTGTCCAAAGCACAGGCAAGAGGGGGGTGAACATACCAGGAGGGGGGAGATAAGAAAGGCCTGGCATGAATAGAGATAAAAAGTGAGGAGTTTCTCTCCCTCCCTCCTGACAGGTCAAAAGTAGGCCTCTTGATGGATCTAAGCTGAATCCTAATATCTCTAACTTGCTGTAAGCTGCTTTAGAAAAAATATGAAGACATGCCCCTTGCATGTAGAAGGTATAATTTGATATTTCTATGATGCTAAAGTTATGTAGTGATATTACGTATGTAGAAGCATGTCTCTTTGTTTGCCTGCATTTGAAGATGTATAAAAGGGAAAGTCAACGCCTTTATCCTCACTCTGGTTGGCTTTTGGACGTAATTCCATGCCAGACTCTCAGCTGAAAATAAACATACTTTTCTGCTTCCTAGAAAGGATCGCTCTTGGTATTATCTCTCCTATCTGCTGCTACAGCCATACAGTCTGAAAAAGCTACAACAATCCAGCGACTCCAGCCATGAAAGCCTTCGACAATACATTGGACAGGGTGGCTTACAATGGGACAAAATGTCCACAGAACATCAAAACAAAACAATCCATTAAAAACAAAAACAAAAAACGATTGAAATAAAGCAAAGCAAAGCACAACAATAAAATAAAACACAGCGTTGTTGTAGGTTTTTTTCGGGCTATATGGCCATGTTCTAGAAGCATTCCCTCCTGACGTTTCACCTGCAGCTATGGCAAGCATCCTCAGAGGTTGTGAGGTCTGTTGGAACTAGGAAAAAGGGTTTATATATCTGTGGAATGACCAGGGTGGGGCAAAGAACTCTTGTCTGCTGGAGCTAGGTGTGAATTTGACCACCTTGATTAGCATACAATGGTCTGACTGTGCCTGGAGCAAACTTTTGTTGAGAGGTGATTAGATGTCCTTGTTTGTTTCCTCTCTGTTGTTGTGCTGTTGCAAGTTTTTTTTAATACTGGTAGCCAGATTTTGTTCGTTTTCATGGTTTCCTGGCTACCAGTATTAAAAAACTCTAAAATTGCAACAGCACAACAACAGAGAGGAAACAAACAAGGACATCTAATCACCTCTCAACAAAAGTTTGCTCCAGGCACAGTCAGGCCATTGTATGCTAATCAAGGTGGTTAGTTGAAACATTCACACCTAGCTCCAGCAGACAAGAGTCCTTTGTCTCACCCTGGTCATTCCACAGATATATAAACCCTTTTTCCTAGTTCCAACAGACCTCACTACCTCTGAGGATGCTTGCCATAGATGCAGGCGAAACGTCAGGAGAGAATGCCTCTAGACCATGGCCATATAGCTCAAAAAAACCTACAACAACCCAGTGATTCCGGCCATGAAAGCCTTTGACAATAAAATAAAACACAATTAAATAAAAATGTAAGGGTATAAAACAGCAGCATTAAAACTCACTCAAACAATACACAACAAAAACCAATAACCAGAATACTAAGATGGGCATGGTCAGGGTATAAAGAGGTTAGTGAAAAACAGCGTACTATAGGGCCGGAGGACTGGAGGAAGTGCAGAGAACAGAGTACTATCTGGAGAGCTAGGGGCTGGGCATTTGTAAGTAGGGACTAGTCATTCTCGAAACTTGTTGGAACATCCAGGTTTTCATATCCCTACGAAAGGAGGACAGTGAAGGGGCTAGCCTAATCTCCCTGGGGAGGGTGTTCCAAAGTCGGAGGGCCACCACTGAGAAGGCCCTCTCCCTCGTCCCCAACCACCGTGCTTGTGATGGTGGTGGGAGCAAGAGGAGGGTCTCCTTGGTGGATCTTAGACCCCACACCAGTTCATAGGGGGAGATGCGCTCACGAAGATACATAGGGCTTTGTAGGTAATAACCTGCACCTTGTATTGGAACTGGAAACTTATCAGCAGCCAGTGGAGGTGCTTTGATAGGGGTGTCATCCGTAGGAATACCAAGGTGCTTGTTTATACAGCTATTATCCTCCCAACCCTGCTATATGCCTGCGAAACATGGACTGTCTACAGACGTCAGATGCAACTCCTGGAACGATTCCATCAGCGCTGCCTCCGGAAAATCCTGCAAATCTCTTGGGAAGACAGGCAAACAAAGTCAGCGTGCTGGAAGAAGCAAAGACCACCAGCATTGAAGCGATGGTCCTCCGCCATCAACTCCGCTGGACCGGCCACATTGTCCGGATGCCCGACCACCATCTCCCAAAGCAGTTGCTCTACTCCGAACTCAAGAATGGAAAACGGAAAAGAGATTTAAAGATGGGCTCAAAGCCAACCTTAAAAACTCTGGCATAGACACTGAGAACTGGGAAGCCCTGGCCCTTGAGCGCTCCAGCTGGAGGTCAGCTGTGACCAGCAGTGCTGCAGAATTTGAAGAGGCACGAATGGAGGGTGAAAGAGAAAAACGTGCCAAGAGGAAGGTGGGTCAAGCCAACCCCGACCGGGACTGCCTTCTACCTGGAAACCAATGCCCTAACTGTGGGAGAAGATGCAGGTCAAGAATAGGGCTCCACAGCCACCTACGGATCCACAATACTGATCCTGGAAGACTATCCGAAGGATCGCCTAAGTAAGTAAGTAAGTAAGTAAGTAAGCATGAGCTCCCTACAACTATCTCCAGCCTGGCAGCCGACTTTTGCACCAATTGAAGTTCCCCAGCAGTGTCAAAGGCAGCCCCACGTATTCCTCACCCCCAAAAGATAAAAAGGGGAGAAGAGAGTGCCCAGAATGGAACAGAACTTCTAACATTTGGGGTTTTGGCCAGCAGAGGGTGCAGCTGCCATAGTGCATGATGTAGAGGAGATCTACGCTGTCGATTCCACAGCATTCCAA